TGATCCGAATAAGTTGATGGAAATTGAAAATTTTCCGAATCCAAAAGACAGAAAGCAGCTGCAGGCGTTCCTAGGTGTGTGCGGATACTATAGGCGTTTTAGTGTTTGTGGTAAAGCTCTAGAACAAAGAGAGTTAAAAAAAAATACGTCGCGTAGGAATAATGTGCCGTATATTAAATTCAATAAAGAATAAATATGGGAACTTCGAAATTTGCCGGAATTGCAAAATGAAGACACTAATATATTGAGTTTGAGGGAAAATCCTGAGGATAGATATAAATTGCTAGAAGATAATGGTGTGTGCTATATATAAAAAATGGTGGAGGTTAATGATTCCAAGATGCTTAATTAAATCGATTTTAAATTCTGTACACATTTGCTTTGGTCTTGTTCAAATATTTACGTCGTGATATAAGGAATTTTTTAAGAAAATGCGATACATGTCAACGCACAAAATATTTAAATTGTAGTGCAGAAGGTATATTTCAATATATTAGAGCAGATGAGCCAAATGATTTGGTAGCAGTAGATTTCAACGGGCCGTTACCGAGATCAAGAGCGGGGGTAATGTATATTTTTGTTACACAGGATATATTTACAAAATTACTCACGTTGTATACCCTATAAAAAGTGCTAACACTTACAAGTAAACTTACCCAAGTGTTACACTCCGATTTGGATGAAACATAGGCACGTTTTTAGATTATTTATTATTATTTTGAAGAAGTTGGGAAACCGACGCAAATACTTTCGCATCACGGAACCCAGTTTACATCTCCGGTGTGGAAGGCGGAATTGGAACAGATGGGAGTTAAGGTAATATTTTCCTCAATTCAACACCCTTAATCCAATCCAGTTGAGCGGACCATGCGTGAATTAGGCCGATTTTTTAGTGCATATTGTGCTCATAAACATACGAGTTGGGCGAAATATGTACCTATGATTCAGGAATGCCTTAATTTGACGTTTGACCATACTACAAATGCTATACCACACGTCTTGCATTTTAGAATGAACTTGCGCGATCGCTTGGTTCAAATGTTTCCTATGTTGAAGAAAGCGTTAAATACTCGTGAGATACAATTGCAATTGGCAATTCTGAGGGTTCCACATTTGTCAGATAAAGCTGAGCAAGTCACATCAATGTTTTTTTTATTTGTTTGAAGGTCCGTATAATATGAAAAAAAATTTGAGTCATAATGCCTTTGTTTAGATAGATCCTAATAATGGAAAATTGTTAATGGGAACTTATAATTGCATCCACTTTCGACGATACTATGGTAAAGAGGATGTGTAATTGACATAAGTGTTGGAAGTGGTCCTTTTTTATTCGTCTTGGGGGTCGCTGATAATCTGAGTAATTGTGAAGGACTCTAATGAATGTGCAAGTTATAGAATTTGATGTCGTCGTTATACGCCATAAAATGGGGGATGATTGTAACGTATAGTCCTTCATAATTTTTTAATCTTGCGTAAAGAGCAATAGAAAATTATCGGCGAGATTAAATTTTATATATGCATAGATATAATAGCGATGTCGTCTGAATATCATAAATTGGCGCGAGTTAGACTTTGGGAACGAAACTACGAGAGGTGAGAGAGATATGCGAAGAATGCGTAGAAATATAGAATCAGTATAATACCGGGTCACAATCACGTTAAGGTGTTATGGGGACTGTGAAATATATATCTATCTAATAAAATATACAATATTTGCTGCAGAAAAGTATATCGCCTGCTCGATTGGGGTAAGTTGTAAAAAAAATATATATGTGTGTTAATTGATTAAAGCAAATGGGATAGAAAATCGTTAATTTTAATTTTGTCAATTTATTCAAATAGCGGTTGGTGTAAAATAGACAAACACCGCGTGTTCTATATGCGGAAGTATTGAGTGATTTTCACTATCGACATCTTGAAATTTATTATTTTGCGAAGCTCAGATCAAGCCTTATTATAACGATTATCTCACCGATTATCAAATGTAAATTTATTATTTTTACGAAGTCTTCCCATTGACTATTTTCGAAGCATAATTATTAGATAAATTTGGATTGATCAAAAAGTGGCCAAAAGTATAAAACAATTTTTTAGTACAACAAAACTAGGGTATTTTATAGTTTTTGCGGTTGCTGATTACGAATCCGATGTCAGTTTTTCAAAATTTAAAATGGCGGATCACAAATGACGGACGACAATTTAAAAAATCAATTGAATTGATCGAAACTTGTTTCTCGGTAGTTTTTGGGGTCGCTGATTATGAATCCGATGTCAGTTTTTCAAAATTCAAAATGGCGGATCCAAAATGGCGGACTACTTTTTTTAAAATTAATTAAAACTCTCCAATCTTGTTATTTGGGGTTTGATGATTACGAATTCACTATCATGTATTTTTAATATTAAATTAATGTACCTATTATTAGCCTACATATATAATTTAAAAATGTAGTTAACATAACAAAAACATAGCAATCAATCGAGAAATTTAGTTAGCTCTTGTAAAATATTTCCTTAAAGTTTTTGCTTATGTTAATCGAATTATTATTGGTTCTCGGAACCAAACGGTTTGATTGCTTAATTGCGCATGCTCTGTTCTCGTAAATGTTTCTGGTTACGGATGTCATACGTTAACAAATTATTTAGCTGTCCAAACAAAAAAATTTAGTCGACCGATCAAAACGAATAAAAAAGATTTGTACTTAAAACTATTTAAACAAATATTTTGTCAGTTTTCGGAAATTTCAAAAGTTTCGGTAATTATTGATAATTTTCAATTTTAATTATATCTTTATATTACTTGTTCAAGGGTAAGTTATTATTCAATGTATTCTGTTAAAAGTATTGAAACAAAAATAATGCAGGACTAAAATTCCCGTTTTAATTTTTTACATTGTCTAACATGTACTTAACATAAGTAAAAAAACATCGCCACAAGTTTTTAAGAATTGAAATCTAAAACTTTCACTTTTGTATAGTAATGTTTATGTAGAAATTTTTTGAGATTTTCAAGTTTTGGCGTTAGTTATTTTTGTAATATGAGTCCTTAATTCTTGGCATTTCGTATATAGAAGCTTTAAGGTATCAGAATTGAAAAAAAATGTTTTTGAACCCTTACAGAAAAATGAAAATTCCGAAATTACGGTGAGTGAGGCATTTGTCCATTTTATATTTTAGTACATAATTTACATACATAAATATTCACCCGGTATTAGAATCGAATTTGTTCTTATATGTATTTTTTCTCACACATCGATTGTAGACGAAGTTATACGAATAATTCGCATTATTCTAAATTAACCTTCCTCTTGCTTCCTCATGGAGGAAGCTTTGTAGTTCTTTCGTTTATAAAAATTTTTAAGCTGGCGGGAACAAATTTTTCTCTATATAGAAACATGTTTTATAAGATCCTGATCAATTGTCCGGATGTATGTTTGTGTGTGTGTGTGTGTGTGTGGATCCCTTTTTTGTTCAGACGATAACTTTAACAGGTTTTAATGGATTTAGATAAAAATTGGTAGGCTTATTTATCATATTAATATCTTAAAACTGACCAAAGGATTTTAAAAAATACCAAAAAAAAAAAATTTTATCTTTTTTTTTCCAAAAATTTTTTTTAATAGAAAAATTTTTTAAATAGAAAAATTTAAGGTTATATATAATAAAATGGTATTCCTTACGTCAAGACAAATCGATTGGTATATATAAAGTATAGTTTGAATTTAAATTTAAAGAATTAATGAAAGTTAAAAAATCAAAAATTCACATTTTGGCTATAAAATTTTGTGATTATTTAAATTCAAGTTTAAATATAAAATAATTGTGTTCCTTGCATTGAAACGAACCGATATAATTGTAAATAATTATAAATTATATATTATTTTTCATTAATTTTTATAAATTTCAGCTAAAATGTTAATTTTTGATTTTTTAACTTCCATTAATTCTTTAAATTTTACTCAAATGTATACTCAAATGTGTATATTATTATATTATTTATGTATGTTTATTTCAATGTTAATGCTTTCTCCACGAGGAAGCAAATTTTTTTGCTGATCGTAAAGAGAAAGCAAAATGTTCATGTCATCTGAATTTACAACTTGTTTCTATTGTTTCCAAAAATATTATATATTGAAAATAGCGTTAAAATATATATTGTATCAAAAAATTGTATAAGAGTGTGTGTGGTATCATTTCAATCTTATAGGCAATATTGTGATTTTATATTAGTAGAAACTTGAATTTATGTGGAGTGATAATTTTATTTGGCGTATTTATTATTTTTTTGTAATTAATTATATAATGCATTTTTTTATCATTACTATATTATAAAAAGATATCGCCGATACCACTACCGCTGATTTAAGATTAAACGCTAGGCGAGAACTTCAACGCTACGCGGAAGCTCAAAGTACTCGCCTACCATTCAACTCACAAAGCATTCAGACTCGCGTACCGTTCAGAATTTGTCTCAAATGAACACTAGGCGAAAATTTCGGCACTACGCGGGAATTCGCTGTATTAGTTTACCATTCAGCTCGCGAAGCATTCAAATTCGCCTAACGTTCAGAATTTGTCTCGAAAATTTCAGAGATTGTACTATCTATATTAAAAACATAAGTTAAAAATTAAGATAACATCAATGATCAAGGTCAAACGACAAAATCATAGATTAAAACGAACATAACCTCAAAAATTAAAGTTTTTGAAGGAGTTGAGATAAAAATAACCTTGAAATTAGCATTAGAAGTCAAGAGATGTTCATATTAAAATATAAATAAATTTCTGTTATTCAAATGTAAAAATCACGGTGTAAGAAAGAAAGGTGAATCGACTTCCTACCCCCACCACCAAAATTGTGTTTGCTTAAAGATTTGTTTCTCGGAGTATGAATCAGATGTCGCATTGTAGTTCATGTTACGATTCCTAACCTAAAAATTATTTTTGACATGTTGTTGGTAAACACATCGTTTTGATTTAAAATTGAGTAATAAAATTAAAAAATGGTAAGACGCTGTTGCGTAAAATCTTGTGAGAGTCGCGACTTAAAGAAGGACGATAAAATAACACTTTTTAAAGCACCTATTGATTTAAAGGAGAGAGAAAAGTGGGAAAATATTTTAAGCACAAACATAAGTGCAGCCGCTTACGTTTGTGAAAAACATTTTCACGAAAATGATATTAAAAAAGGTGAAGTTGTGCGCGATGCTGATGGATTTATTATGTATTGTGTAAGTATTTCCTATTTATAAAATTTATAATAAAACTTGATAACACTTTGTCTTTGCTATAAATGCATTTCAAATATGACGAGCAAGTTTTCAAAAGTTGATAAATTCATTTATTTAAAAATTCGAGATATACATAAATTTAATATTTTTAAAACCTTACAAATCGATCTGTTACTATTAAATTTAAGAACAAAATGCATTAACATTGAATTTTTAATTTATTAACTTTTTAACATTACTAAGGTGATTTATAATTTTTATTTTTTTACAGAAAAAATTATCAAAACCTATATCAATCACTTGATTATGATAAAGTTTAATTGAAAACAAAATGTCTTAAATATAAAAATATTGTTGTAAAAATAAATTATTACATTTGTATTTGAAAAATTAACTGTAGTGTTTATGTGAGAAAAGTCATTGGTTTCAACTTCTGGAAATAAGAAAATATGGATTTATCAAATTTTGTATACATTCTCCTGATATATAGCATAACATTTTTATTTTAGAGAATCAATATATTATTCACTACTTTTCAATAATTTTATCTCTTTATTTACTTAAAGAACATTTTATTTTCTGTATATGTATTTGTAAAAAAATTTATATAATTTGCTTCAGTGTCAGTTTTCGTCAAAACGACTGGTCAAAGGAGCTTTTCCTTGCAGTCATGATAATTCCGATTGTGAAGAGGAGTTTCCATGTAGTAAAAGGTTTAAAAGTGATGTGGATGAATGTTTCTCAGAAAATCTTTTAGAAGAAAATATGGATATAGACGATTTACCCTGTAATAAAAGTGAAATACAGGAAGAATTAATTAATAGTAGCCTAAAGCCCGAAGATCCTAATGTCAACAATACAGTTCCTATAATCAGTTTATATGAGGATTTAGTACAAAATTTAGGAAATTTAAAGCTGCCAAGGGATGAATGGGGAACAACGCACTGCAAGCAAACCAAATTACTTGTTTTTCCTTTTCTAAAAGTAATTCCATCTTCTACTAGCAGAAGTGTTACACCAACTTTCACTAAACAGGTATTTAAATATAGGAATATTTTTCTATAAATTGAAATATTTTTTTAAAACGAAATAATCATTTTTTACTCAAGTATTAATAAATTTATGTTTTAGGTAACGGTTAATGGTGAATCTGAGGTGCATTTGATATTCTTAGGACAAAGTCTTGAATTGGATTGCGTAAAAAACAAACCATCAAGTTTCAAGGAGTTTGAAAAATTACTTTTTGAAATAGATAAATTGGAAACTTGTGTAGGAGGTCCCGGCAGTCATATGTATAAAAATATTCATCCTGAGTGTGCACAACGAGATGGAGTAACATGGAGGCATAACAAATGTCCAAAAGTTATGGACAACGGAACCGTATGCCCTTATTGTCTTTCATTATATCAATTATTACCTCAAAATTTGAAAAGGCAAGACAAATCAAAAATAAGAGTTAGAGTACCAGGAACACCGACAACACGAAATAAAATCAGACTATCAATAAAAAGGCAGCAAGTTGTAAAACAAAGACTCACTAGGAAAGAAAAAAAGCTTGAAGAATTACAGATAGAACTGAGTGAAGTACAAGATCGGTTGAATGTAATGGAAAAATCGAGTTTTGCAGAGAAGCTTAGAAGTTGTTCGGAAAAACTTCCTGCAAATCAGGTAAACATAAAATTTTGGTGAAAAGAATATGGGATTTTTATTTTTAACGCAGATGGAATATCTCGATCAATTTTATTATTCTATTAAAAATTTATTTTTACAACTGTTTTGTAATACATTTGTAGCATGATTGGGGTATGAAGGTTTTTAATTTAATTACTTTTTTATTATATGTATATTTATAAGACTTATTTTTTTCTAATTTATTTACAATAAGTTACATCTAATTAAATTAAAGAAATAATTTTTTTAATGCTGTTTATAATCAGCACATCTTTGATAGATTTCGATAATTATTAAATTTCGGTATTTTATAATAATTATTAATAATTATTAAATTGATTTTTACAAATTATATTCGATTAGTGTACTTTCAGCTATATTGTACAATAAAAAGAGTCCAATTGAATTATGTAATAATAAACAATTTTACAAACATGATAAATGTTTTCATTAAATTTCCCCTTCTTTGTAGGTGACATTAATCGAAGAATGTTTTGCGGCTGGTAAAGTTAAAAGTAGTCATGGTCGGCGTTATAGTCATGAGTGGTTATTATTGTGCTTGTTAATATACATTCGCAGTTCTGCGACGTATAATATGCTAAGAACAAACAATATTTTACCACTACCTTCAAAATCCACCATCATTAAATATGTGCGAGCCTCAAAATCAAATTGTGGGTTTGATGACCAATTTTTTGCTATGTTCGAAAAACAATTGTTATTATATCCGGAAATAAGTCGAAATGGAGTTTTAACTTTTGATGAAATTGTAGTTCGCAAAAGTATTGAGGTGGATATGAAAACTATGACGTTTGCTGGGTTACAAGATTATGGTGAAGACATGGAAGATCGTAATGGCTTGACTCTTAAAGAAGAAGCAAATTATGCCTTAGTCTTCATGTTTTCATCTCTATGTCAAAATTTTCATCAACCTATTGCTATGTTTGGGTCGAAAGGAACGACACCTTCGAATGTTCTGTCAATTTTAGTATTACAAGCAATTATTAAAATTGAAAAGGCTGGTGGTAAGGTCCATGGTATTGTTTGTGATGGTGCCACTACCAACAAAAGCATGTGGACCAGTTTTGGAATCAGTGGTAAGCTGGACAAACTGAAGTTTTGTTTTGACAATCCGTATGATGAGAATCGCGTTATATACGCAATGTCCGATGTTCCACACTTAATAAAAAATATTAGGAATAGGCTGCTTGAAAAAAGAATACTGAAGGTAAAAAACTTACTAGCTGCTAATTTTTTGTATTTGTTGAAAATAATTTCTTATAATTACATCTTTTAATAATACTTCTTAATTTTAGGTCAGAGGTGAAGTTGTCAAATGGGAATACTATGAATCCTTATATTATAGGGATTCTCAAAATTCTTTGAGAGTATGTCCAAAATTGACGGCTCATCACATTAGAGTTACCAACGCAATGAAAATGAAAGTCTCTTATGCCACTCAGGTAAAACTTTTAGAAAATTTTGTTTCATTCTTAATTACTATTTTATTACATTATTGTTAGAATATTAATATAATGAGAATAATTTAAATTTTAATTTACCTTATTTAGTTTATTTTTTCGTAATTTTTAGATATTTAGTAAGTCCGTTGCTGATGGTTTGGAATTCTATCGACAACAAGAAATCCGAGAGAATGTTGAAAGAAAACATTTTGAAGGTTGTGAAGGCACCATAGCTTTCACACTTCAAATAAATAATTTGTTCGACTCATTAAATAGATCATTTCCAAAAGAAGGAATTAGAATTGGTAGTTTAGATTTAGAGGTGAATTAACAATATAACAATTATAAGAAGTTCATTTTTCTGTTTTTATATCTTCAATATATAAATTTTTATTTTTTCTGTAGGTGATGACAAATTCAATTACTTGGTTGGATGAGTGGGAAAAAAATGTTCAATCTCCAAATGACTTTCTCACAAGTCAAACTGGACATGGCTTACGTGTAACGTTGCATTCAGCTTTAAATCTAACAAAACTCTTACTTGATAAGTATGAATTTCGTTATATTTTAACTGCGAAAATGAATCAAGATTGCTTAGAGGTAAATTGTTATTTTTAAAATTTTCTTATATAAAAAGACAATTTTTAAGGAATATATTTTTTTAGCAATTCTTTGGCATTATCCGACAAGCAGGGTGCCAAAACGACCATCCAACTTTTGTCTCATTCAAACAACTGTACCACTTACTGTCGGTTTATAAAATATTAAAACCACCAAAATTTGGAAATTGTACAGTAAGAGAAAAGGCCGAAGAACGCCAAGAAATCACGTTGCAAGATTTTAAAGAAATATTTAAAAACGATTGTAAATCATATAAACAAGTACATTTACAAAACTTAAAAGAGAAAATTGATCATCTCATAGAATCATCAGATTGGGAATGCGATGAAGTTATTGAGAGTGATTACTCGATGAGCGAAATTACAGACTGTATAATTTATTATGTTACGGGTTTTATATGCCGAAAATATTTGAAGAAAACAAAATGTGAACGATGTCGAGAAGCCTTCTCTACTAGATACGAAAACGTAATTTCCGGTTGTCAAGAATCACAATTAGTTGCGTTAAAATCACTAGGTGGCTTGATTCATCCAAATCTGCATTTAGTGAGATTATATCAAAAAATTGAAAACCATTTTCAAAATCATCTCGATTCAGGCAATATTTATCATGAAGTACTATCAGAACTAAGTGAAGGTTTAGAGCGTTTGACATTTCCCTGTGAAGAACACATGGACACGATGGTACCTTCTTTAATTCATTATTACTTACTAGTAAGAATGCGTCAATTTTCAAAATTGAAAAATAAGGAAGAAAAGAAGCAGAGCAGAAACAAAAAAAAATTGCAAAATTATATGACTGTTAGCTGTTACAAAATGTTTAAAACATAAGTAATATATATTTAAGAAATAATTTTTTTTAAATAATGGAAAGAACATGTAGAAAATATAAATTTATTCTACGAATATTATACCTATGTTATAAATGTAAATTAATGATGTTTTACGTTTTACATATTTATATTTTCATGTTATTGATTAAAAAAAGCACCAATTTTTAATATTAGAGGATATAAAAGAAACGTTAAGAATTTAAAACCAAAAAAGTTGCAAAATTAAAGACTGCGTCATAAAATTGTTAGTCATTTTAAGCAATTTATTTATGACATAAATATGTTTTGTAAATAATTCTTATATATATATTTAGGAAAATAAACATATATTATATATACATTTGTATGAATATATTACAAATGTACATTAATAATAAGAGTGTTCAAAAATTTTTTTACTTTATTATTATTAAAATAATATATTTTATTTCACGAATATATTTGTATAATTGATATTTAATAAAGTCCTAACCAAAAAATTGTATTCATAATAAGAAAAATTTAATGTATAAAGTAATATTATTGGTATTATTTGCATATAGTTAAAATTTTTATACATGTATAATATTACTATATAAATTATTATTACTAGATATACTAAATATAATTGAATTCTGATAGAAAAATATCATATTCATGTTGATCTGCCTATTTTCTATAAAATTTGAAGTTTTATTTATTTTCAAATGTGGCGGTATTAGGCGTAACACCATCTACACTTCGCCATCTAGCGGATTTTTGAAAAAGGAAATCTTTAATAAAACAGTAGTATGAGTTCAGTCGATTCACCTTTCTTTCTTACACCGTGGTAAAAATGTTTGACTAAATATAAATTTAATCAAAATAATATTTAATATTTTTAGTGAATTTAAATAAGGGGTTGGCGGATGAAACGCACAGAGAGGCGAAGCCCCCCTAATATATATATATATGTTCCAAGTGGAACATTCACGAAGATTTTTAATATTGGCCTAAATGAAATCTTAAATCGTACTCTGTAAGACTTTATGCGCAAGATGAAATTTTTTGAAAAACATTGGAGTAAAGACCCCTAAAAATATTTATTTCAGAAATTTCAGTATTTTTATCATAACCGGACGTACTAGAGACTTTTATATAGACTTAAAATCTTTTATAAAACTTGTTAACTGTAAAGTTACAAAAAATGTATTATTGTATAAGTCAATATTAGTACTACTTTTTAATTTATTCGAAAATATATATGTAATTTTCGTTTTCTTAATTCATAATGACCAAAATTCTTATACACGGAAAAAATTGTGGTCTCATTTACAATTATGTCTTTCAGTAAAGCTAATTTATACATTTTTGGAGGTAAACATAATACTTTAAAACTAACAGAAGGTATTACTAATTGCTATTAATGTAACACTTGCAAATTAGACGAGAAATATGACTCATAAACGACAACCAGAAAATAATGGAAATATTATTTGTAATAAACATCAAGTATAATAAAATGTCAAGTGATTCAAATCCAAAATGTATACATAATTTACACATGTAAATTTTACACTGACCTTAAAAGAAAGCTTATATCTTCAAATTTAATCTCCAAAAGCTAAAACCTGTGTGACAATATTAGATAATTGTGGGGGACAACTTTTCATCTTGTGCGCACAAGAATTTCTATGTGGAGAACGAATTTTTAAAAAATTTATGCATTTTCTTTAAATTTTGTATTTAGTGGTTTTCGAGGCAGATTGGATCCGCCATTCTGAACTTTTAAAAACTGACTTCAGATTCGTAAACTGCGGCCTCAAGAACCACTAGATACAAAATTTAAAGAAAATCCATAAATTTAAAAAAAAAAATTGTTCTCCAAGTTGAAATTGCTGTACACAAAAGGCGAAATGTTATCCCCTAAAATTTTTTAATATTGCCACACAAGTTTTTTTTTCCGTGAAAGTCTCTGTTTCCACTATGTTAATCAAATTTGCGAAAATTTTCACCAATGATTTTCTGCCACGAGTTGCGAGTCACCATTTGAAGTTATGTCCCTGTTTTTTATATTTTTTCTCAAACCCAATATTGTCCCATTATTATATTTGCGTGATTCACCACGAAGCGTACAATTCCATATTTCT